GTCACATTCCATGCGTACATCTCGTTCCCGTACAGAAAAAACGAACAAAAGGAACCTTGAAAGATTCAAGATTATTTATATCTATTAAAGGTACCTGCTAAGGCACTTCATTTCTAAAAACTGCTGACATGGCTGCTATGGCGAAGGCCACTCCGGAAAGGGCAAAAGTCGATGGAAGTAAAACAGGTGAGGCGGTTTCAAATTATCATTTCCTAGAGATGCTCTTAACTACAGATTTCAGGCTTAGCATCATTGACCATCCCAAACTCCCAACATGACCTGCTGATCATGCAGATGATGAGAGCGACCACCGAAAACGTGAAAACCGCCAGCATCACAAGCACTGGAGGCAATCAATGCGTTGATAACGTTATCGACAATGAGAGGAGAAAGAATTCAGCGCCTAACTGGACCGAGCGAAGGTCGCCCAACTGGCAATCCACTGCCCTCTTGTGGTGACTCTGACCTGAGGTATCGCCAACTACGCCACGCACCATTTCGAATAATGCTTTTCGTTTTATCAAGGTATTCCACAGTTCCAAAAAGATTCCACTTGTATTTCAGCCCAAATTGGTTCTCAATGAACCTAAGTGCTGACCTCGCCCGCCAGGTGGGCTCGTCCGGTTTGAATGGTCTCTCATCTGAAAGTCTGTGTGCAATCTGTGGCGACAAAGCCACCGGTAAGCACTATGGTGCGGTCAGCTGTGACGGCTGCAAAGGTGAGCCAATCGACGAATTCATCAGTTATTTTCTATCATTCTGGAACCCTGACCACGTCGTCCCGGGCATGGTTACTACCTCCTGGTTAGGTCCGCCAAAACGGTCCACTTTGAAATTTTGTGAACCCTATTTCATTCTTACAACTTTTCTTCTTTTTTCCCTTGTGTGGCAGGTTTCCATTACAGGTTTCTTTCGCAGGACCATTCGGAAACGACACGCGTACTCCTGTCGATTTAACCGGAACTGCGTTGTTGACAAAGGTGGACGATTTCATTTTTTAGGCTTTTATTTGAAACTGAATTCAATTGATTTACTGCCATCATAATTTGCAAGATAATGGCTCCCGTAGCGCAATATATGCAGGTATAGCAACGCAGTTAAACGAATATTTGGGGAGGAGGGCCAGGGGGTCGAACACTTCTAGAACACCATATGTTCCTTTCTTGCGAAACCAGTTATACGGCGCCATATGAAGACGTACATTTGATGACCATGCAGTTCATTTTGTTCCGTATATATTTGTTTTCTGTATTTGTTTACATATAATATCAATTACGTATTTGAAGCTAACCCTTGAATCAATTTCTTCACAGTCATGGATTCAAAGAATAAGTTTGAACTCTCTTATGTGCACGCCCTTATGGTCTAACAAATTGTAATTGCACACTGCCTAGCTCTCCAGACATCAAATCAG